AAAATTTATTAGAGCATAAGCTTGCGTGGACTACAGCCCACTTCTTCGGATGCATTCTGTATGCATCCGAAGAAGTGGGCTGTAGTCCACGAAGCTTATGCTCTAATAAATTTGTTAGTCTCTAAGGTGCCACAAGTACTCCTGTTCTTTTTGCGGATACAGACTAACACGGCTGCTACTCTGAAACCTGTAAAAATTGTGAGGGGCTCAAATACTGCAGTAACGGACATCAATAGTTATTCCAGATTTACACCTTTGTGAATGAGATTGGGATCTGGATGTAAATAATTACTAGATAATAGGGACTGCTGATAGCTATGGGCCAATTTCTACTATGCTTCCTCACCTGGAGGTAGTACCTTACTCCGTGAATATTCCCATTGAAACATACTCCTCAAGGGCCTTGATCCTGCACCAAGTCAATGCGAATTTTTCCGTTGACTTGAATGGGAACAGGACCAAGCCCAACGTGAGAGAGGGTGGCAAAATCCTATATCTTACATTAAAAAATTCCATACCTTAAATGACTGAACCACCAAATTCTGCACAAAACAAGTCTATGTTGAATATTCTTTTCTCTCTCTTACTCTCATCCTCCTTCCCCATTCCTTTCAATTATTTGTTACATCCTCTGGTTTCATTTTGTCAGAAAGTGGATTGTACGCTGTTTGGGACAGGGACTGAGACTTTTGCAATGTGGCCCTGCCTCTGATTTGGGGCCTTTGTGTGCTACAATCAATAATAAAAACATGTATTTTATGAATATTCATGGCATTTTCCTTTACAGTGAGCATTCTTCAATGAAGAAGATTTTCCTTGCACAATTGTTTGTGGAAAAGTGAAAACTGGGCCCCTCATCCTGTTGAGGCTAATGCACCGATTGTATTTGAATGAATGTTTGCAAATACCTCACTGCAGTGTTTATTCACCTTAGAGTGGCATGCCCTCCAATGACCACTGACTTCAGTGGGAGTCTTGGAAGCTCATTCAAGGTATTATTGTGCTAATCATATGCTCAGATGTGTACACAAAAGAGTAAAGAGGGCAGTGTTCCTCATCTCAGAAGCTTATAATATAAGGTCTGAATTCTGCCATCCTGTCTTACGTTGAGCAGTGTCTTCCTCTTCAGGTGGTGTCATTGATTTCAGTAGAACTACTGGCTCTGATAAGGTACTATTCAATGTGGGTAAAGGTGACAGAATAGGGCCCTAAATAACAGTCTCTGACATCCAGAGGAAAGTTCTTAGAGCGATTCTCCCTGTTCCTTTAATGTAACAGATCAGAGGATTAATGTGGGTTCTTCTGTGCTGATTTTTTAAAAACTAATTTTTTTTATTTTTCTAGCTTTGGGGAGCTCAAAAAATAAAGCAGGTAACAACCTTTTAAATATTTTATTCCTCTTAAAATATCACTATTCCCTTCTGTTTTTCCTGAATGGGAAAAAAGGTGGTGCTCCTTTCTCTGTCACGGTTTTTCAGTTACATTTTCTCTGACAAGATAAAATAGCATGTGCAAATAACTCCCCCCACCCCCCCAAGAGTTTTAATTTTATTTTAGTGTTCATATATAATTTTATGTGTTCGTTTTCTTCCACTTATCTAGCCTAGAGTTTTCCTGGTCTCCACATTCCCATTAACTGGTTTGGCAGTTCTTCCATAAGAATAAAAACTCTGTCATATCTTTCCCCTGGACAATCCCAAAACACTAGCAGACTGATTCTCACCCCTGTTTACACCAATTTTTACACTGGTGCATCCTCACTGGCTTCATATGGAGATCTGGTCCTTATCTGCCTAAGGTGAGAGAGACCATGGGCGGCTGTAGAATAGAATAAGTTGGTGGTCTCAGTCCAGTTCTTAATGAACAGGTGTCCATAGCACAAAACTACCACAGTTGGCTCCTTTGTAAGTAGTCTCTACAGTTTGGCTAAGAACTGGATGGACATGAAGGTTGAACTTCTCCTGTGCCCAAAAAGTAGTGCAATGAATCATTATGATAGCCGATAGGATTTTACTGGAGAATTCTTTGTTTCAGTAACACCAGATGACCATACTATCATGTTTTCAATTGGCAACAACATGGTCAGGCTCTGCTGGATTTCCATGCAAATGTCCATGCTTGCCTCGACCTGGTTTACAAGCTGGTGTATGCATACGTGTGAATGGAGAGAACTTTCATTATTTTTCTAGATTATTGAGAGAATCTTCACCCTTATATACATGTCGGTTTAGTGGGAGTGGGGGCTCTGAGTAGAACCCATCGTGTATAAAGTCAGGAAGAGTTAAATAAAACCTGTCATTTCAGAAAATATGCTTTTAATTTTATAATCACAGGAATTTTTGAACAACTCAATTTACTGCAGGAGAGCTGAGTAACACTTCTGAATAATTTGAATTTAAAATCTGTCCTGAACATTTGCTTAGAACTGATTTTTTTTTTTTTATCTTCAAAAACTTTACTGTGTCAAAACTTCAAACCTACACACAGGACAGGAGGGCTACATTGCACTGATTTAGGTTGCTGCTTCCCATTTAGTCCACTTGACAATGACTTATTACTATCTAATGGCTGTTAGTGTCTTGTGTACAGTGAATTTAGTCTGAGTGTCCAGATTACAAAACCACCAACAAAGCTGGCCTCATTGTTAGCGATCTTGGTAGAGACACCAAGGATAGAGTGGGCCATGGAGACTAAATTCTGTTCTTGTCCCTAGAGGTAGTACCTCCCAGGACAGGGTTAAGGCACATTGATGTGTGTTCTTTGTGGACATTGCTACTGCTCATTATGTACCTGTTCTATACTTCTGTCTCCAGTGTTGTCAGCCTGTCACTTCTCACTAGCACTCAGTTATGTCAAGAATTTTTAAAGGAGCAGAAAACCAATAAGCAGGAGGAGGCTTTTGTGAAGACTACTGAATGGTCATGGGCCACTGATCTGTGCTGCAAAAGCCACGTGCAGCATGCTGCTTATGCTGCTGTAGAGACACGTACGTGTGTCTCTCTGTTCTCCGATTAAACAGATTGTACATAATGGGAAGGGTCAGGCTCTTTGGTGCTTGCCAGCCACTTCCATGCTTTCACCATGTCTATTTGCTGATTGTTTTGTAGGCCATCATACATCCTGATACCAATGAGAAGATCTTCATGCCTTTCAGAATGTCAGGTAGAGTATATCCTCTAATCAGTGTACTGATCTGTTTACTAATCTTACTGAAAACAGATAGTAAATGTTATAATCCCGGTTTTGTCCCAGTTCTTTCTCTGAATCTTTTAAATATTTAGTGTCTGCCTCATTCTTCTCCGTACCTCCTGGACATCTGAATGTGAACTTTAGCTTATCTCATCTCTGGCCTCTCTAAAGTGCCCGTCCCTGTGGTATCCAGGCTCTCTGTTTACGTGTTGGCATTCATTTTAACCTTGGATCAAGGAAAGAAAGCTGCCACATAAACAAACACTCTGGTGCTTTCTTCCACTAAGGAGAGTGGGTTGGGCCACGTACCACGGTGATGGGCATAGTATAAGAACCTAACTCAAACAGAATTCTTGGAAGGCACCTTCCACGCCGCCAACCCATGTTCTTTCTCCCTCAGAGACAGAGTGCTTTTCTTTTGTGCCATACCACATCCAGCTTTGGTGTGAGACAGCTGCCGTTGTATCATTAAACCAGCTGCTTCTTCCCCCTCTTTTTAGTAGAGTTCCATCCCTTGAGGCAAGAGAGCACTACCTGCCTTTACTGTGGTTCAAGCTGTGGCTGTGTTTGTGGGGCAATCACTGCACAGAAGTGTTCCTTTGGTACCTTCTCGGGAGAGCCACCAGCAGGGAGAGTCTGTAATCCCCTTTAGAAAGGACCTTTATCTGGTTTCCAATGTGCCATGCTGGGAAATGAGCTCACGCGGTGGGACAGTCTGGTGTGAGCGTGGGAGAAATGGCAGGATTGGTGCTTCATTCTCTAAAAACTTTTTGGAGAGGAAGGGTAACCTCCTGGCTAAAGTACAGCACAGATGAGCCAGGACTCTTGGGTTCTCTCCCCTGTTCTGCCACTGACTTGCTGTGTAACTTTGGGCAAATCATTCCACCTCCCTGGGCTTTGGCATCCCTGTCTGTCAACTGGGGTTGTGAGGCTTACTCAATGCATTAATGTTTGTAACACACTGTTAGACTCTCTGGTGGGAGGCGCTGTAGCACAGCAAAGTGTGGTAACTGGTAGCTCTTGCTGGGGGAGGTGACGTGTGGAGTATGTGATTTTTGTAGCTGGCCATTGATATTTCGGGTAAGAAGGGCTTGCCCACGCTAGAGTGTGTTTCCGTTTTAACTATACAGTTGTAGCTAAAGCAGCACTGCCCACATCCTCCTTCCTCCAATGTGGATGCAGCTATAGCTGTATCATTTATTCTGGTTTGGGAAGAGAAATAAGATGTACCAGTATAAGTCTCCTTTATATTGTTATAACTACATCCATGCTAGGGTTTATATACCAGGATATCAGTAAAAATATCACATCCCTAACCAACGTAGTTATGCCAGTGTAACTTTTCTAGTGTAGGCCAAGCCTAAAAAAACCCCTTGGGAAACACTTAAAACACCCAAGAGCGGAGAAGGGAAAGTGACGTAAGAACTGTGAGTCCATTTTTCTCTCACTCCTGATTGTCAGGCTGTAGCTCCACTAAAGTCACTGGAGTTACACTAAAAGAACAGGAGTACTTGTGGCACCTTAGAGACTAACAAATTTATTAGAGCATAAGCCATTCTATATGCATCCGAAGAAGT